TTTGGTGAATCGAGCTCCATCAACTGCAATAGAGCTGAAGACACCAATTGAGATGTGGACTGGTAAACCAGCTGATTATTCAAACCTCCATGTATTTGGAAGTATTGTGTACGTGATGTACAACTCCCAAGAAATTTCAAAGTTGGATCCAAAATCCAGGAAATTCAAATTCTTGGGGTATGATGATGGAGTAAAGGGGTATCGTTTGTGGGATCCCACTGCCCGCAAAGTGATCATCAGTAGAGATGCTATCTTTGTGGAAGATAAACTACAAAGAAAAGAAGACGATGATAGCGCTGAAAAGTCAGAGACTACACAGATACATGTGGAAAAGGAGTTTGAACAATGAGATTCTTCTGAAGTAGAACCAGGACATGATGAACAAGAACATAGAGTTCTGAAGCTCCAACAACTCGTTAATCAGATCGTGTGAGAAGACGACCCAATTGGTACTCAGATTATGTTATAGAAGGAAAAATTGCATACTGCCTTTTAACAGAGGGCGGTGAGCCATCAACATACCAGGAGACAATAAACAGCTCAGATGCTTCACTGTGGATGATGGCGATGCAAGAAGAAATTAAAACCCTTCATAAAAATAATACATGGGACCTTGTGCCACTACCACAAGGAATGAAGCCAATTAGTAACAAATAGGTCTTCAAAATCAAGCAAAATGGTAACGATCAAGTGGAGAGGTATCGTGCAAGACTGGTGGTAAAAGGATATGCTTAAAAAGAATGTATTGATTTTAATGAAATCTTTTCTCCTGTGGTTCAACTAACAACAATTCGAGTAGTCTTGGCAATTTGTGCTACATTAAACTTATATCTAGAGCAGCTAGATATTAAAACAACTTTTCTTCATGGAAATCTTGAAGAAGAGATTTACATGCTCCAGCCTGAAGGTTTTGAAGAAGAAGAAAAGAAGAACTTGGTTTGTAGGTTGAAAAAATCTTTATACGGTCTAAAGAAGGCACCGAGGTGTTGGTATAAGAGCTTTAATTTCTTCATTATGTGTCTTGGATACAACAGACTTAATACATACCCTTGTGCTTATTTCAAGAGGTTTGGTGATAACGATTTTGTTATATTGCTATTGTATGTGGATGACATGTTGGTTGCTGGACCCAACAAAAATCATATTGAAGAATTGAATGCACAACTGGCTAGGGAATTTGAAATGAAAGACTTGAGATCAAAAAACAAGATTCTAGGGATGTAAATTCACCGAGATAGAAGTAATAGGAAGATTTGGCTTTCACAAAAGAATTACTTAAAGAAGATCTTGTCACGATTCAACATTCAATATTGTAAGCCAATTTCTACCCCTCTTCCTATTAACTTCAAATTATCTTCCAGTATGAGTCCTAGCAATGAAGAAAAGAGGATGTAGATGTCTCGAGTGCCATATGCATCGGCAGTGGGAAGTTTAATGTTCGCTATGATATGCACAAGACCAGACATTGCACAAGCAGTGGGAGTGGTTAGTCGATACATGGCGAATCCAGGCAAAGAGCATTGGAATACAGTAAAGAGAATCATGAGATACATCAAAAGGGCCTCAAATGTTGCATTATGTTACGGAGGATCAAATTTACTTATCAATGGGTATGTTGATTCTGACTATGCAGGGGATTTGGATAAAAGCATATCTACTATAGGATATGTGTTCAAAATTGCTGGTAGAGTTGTAAGCTGGGTTTCAAAATTGTAGTCAGTTGTGGCTACATCCACAATAGAGGCAGGATATATAGCAGCTACACAAGCCAGTAAAGAAGCAATTTGGTTGAAGATGCTATTGGAGGAGCTTGGACACAATCAAGAGTATGTCTCTCTCTTTTATGATAATCAAAGCACCTTGCATCTAGCAAGGAATCTAGTATTTCATTCAAGGACAAAGCACATACGAGTTCAATACAATTTCATTCGTGAAAAGGTGGAAGAATGAACTGTAGATATGCAAAAAATCCATACCAAAGACAACATAACATATTTCATGATAAATGCGATCAACACTGATAAATTTACTTTGTGTCGATCCTCTTATGGCCTGTCAGAGACGTAAGCAACATGATGGTACAAGGTAGAAATAAGGGTGTGAAGATATGATTGTTTCAATCAAATCTTCAAGTGGGAGATTGTTGAAAAGTAAGTGGGCAACTTGTTGAAATTAATGGCCATACTTTAGGTGGTTGAAAGTTGGCAACAATAATGGTTCATAGTTGGCACCAATAATGGTTGAAAAGTGACATGAAAAAATTACACATTTAGTCCTTGTACTTCCTAATACTAGAGAATTTAGAGAGTTTTCTTGAGAGTTGTTTTCTCATTTTTTTATCAAGAGAGAATTGTTATTGTTTTCTCCTTGTTAGATTGAGAGAAGTTGTAATTCCTATTTTCTCATAGTGAAATTCTTCAACTGTTGCCCGTGGTTTTTACCCTATATTATTTAGGGGGTTTCCACGTAAAATTTGTGTCTTCTTTATCTTCATTTTTATTTTCTCAAATTATCAGTTGCGATTTTGCTCTATCCGATAGTCGTATTTCGCAACAATTTGATGGAGCATCAAAGTAAATTACTATTTGGAATTACTCTCCTTAGCAACCCAAGCAAAGCAAATCGCTTCAACAACTCGAATGGGGTAATCCCATCTCAACACCTATTCATCAGCAATTGTACAACAAACTTTTAATCAACAACTCATACAAGAACCAACAATCAATTCATTGACAACAAATGCCACTGAAGATCTCGAGCAGCTCCATCACAAAGCATCATGATTTAACCAAACTTTCACAATTGACCTTAAAACTTGAACATAGCAAGGGCCCTGAACACTAGATATCGTTGTCCTGAAACAATAAGAAAACATGTGGATAATCGAAGAAACAACACCGAAAATAAACCACTTAGACCAAAAATAAATTAACTTCCCAGAGATAAACCTTGAATCTAGTGATTAAAAATTTTGTCAATCCATAAACCTATATCCACTATATGGAACAAACAACAACTTGCTTGAAACCAACCCCCTGAAGACAACAACCCCAAGAGACAACAATTTGTAACGATAATCCACTTACCAGAGTGAAGGCTTCAAAGATACTCAAGCTGCACAAAATCTTTAATAATGTCTTCCTCATTACCCATAAACTGAATCCCTAAACTTATCCCAAGTTCTATATTTTTTTAGTTTCTCGGGTCAGAATATTCCTCTATTAGAGAGGCTTGATTTCTAAAGCGAATACCTAGAAATATCTATCTTGCTATCTCCAACGCCTTTCAATTTAGTTTTCTTGATCACATGATCTCTCTCTTTTTTTTTCTCTTGATTCGAAATGACCTTATTTTGAAACTCTAGCATAGAGCCATATTTCTTAATTAGTCTTGATTGTAATTGGGATTGAGGGACCCTTCTTCCAGGCCTAGAGACATCAACAACAAGAGAAAGAGCCCTAGTTTCATCCACCATGGGACTACGCGTGAGTTCGATCTCAACATTGTGAAGATCTGAAATAGGGACCCTAGGTTTATGTGGTTATAAGTTCACGCCTCCTCTAATTTTGGATTGATCGAACGTTGTAGATTTGAAACTCATATGTTCCATTTTTCTTATGGTGAAGTCACGATAATTTTTGAAAATGCTGGTGTCCCAATAGATAGTATAACAGTGGTGTCCCAAACGACTTATGAAAATTACTCAAAGAGATGAAAAGCCTCTGCTCTAATATAAGAGTGATTCCATTGTGTCTTAATGAGCATTGTGATATCCTTTGCTCTAGCGAAATTTATTCCAACTCTTTGTTTCTATCAAGATAAAGATGTCTCGGCCATACCAATAAAAATTCAAAGCGTGGTTGTGCCTTGCTACCTTAGTTTTAAAAGACGCTAGGCGCACTGAGGCGCAAAGGGTCTCTGGAGCCTAAGTGCAAAGGATCTTTGGAGCCTAGGCCCAAGGCGTGAGCCTTTCATAGGATAGGCGTACTTTTTATACTAAAAATATATAAAAATTAATTTTATAGTATATCACACACATTATCCACTAATTCATTCCTAAAACCTTTAATCTTCACTCCAACTATTATAAAAAAATTAACTTTTATATTCAATAAAATTTATTAAAAAAATATTATTTAATTTAATGTTTTACTATCTTTCTGAAACTGTATTATAATTACTAAAAGAAAATAAAAATGCCAGCTCAACACTATTCCTAACAATAGCTATGTCTAGGATAAATGCAATGTATTTATTTGGAAAATTGAAACTGTCGTTGTGATTAATAAATTTTTTAAATAATTATAAAGTTAGTTTGTAACCTTAATTATTATGATTAAAGCTATCTATTTGACCCATCAATAATGACCAAAACAAAAACGCTAAAATAGATGAGTGATCAGATAAGTAATTTATCCTAAACTTTATAAAACATCTTTGCCATGACAAAGTTGAAGGTAAAGCTAAACAATTAACTGAAAAAAAGTCGGGAATTGTGAATCCATTTTCATAACAATAGAGCAAAAGCGTTGATATTGCTGAATTCACTCTCACAACCTCATAACAATTCAGTTAGAGCCAACATATGTTGGGAAATTCGGATTTGCAGTCATAAAGCACAAAATGATTGGTGAATGGTAGGACTAGGAGTCTCATGATTACGGATTCGACCCTCTATTCGGTATCAGTGCTTCTTAGAGCGAGTCGAAATCGTCATCATAAGAAAGAAAATGATTAATTCAAACATATGGGGAATCTTGAAAGAAAATTGACACTTTATACCGATAATAAGGGGCTGATCAATCATCTTCAACTGAGATTATATTGCCATCCAAACTTATAAGAGAAACATGAGCAATCTTGGGCCAATCCACTCCAACGTCTTGTTTGCATCTTTCACTTAAAACAGGACAACCTTCAATATGCAATCGTTTGAGGCGCTGCATGGTTTCTGGCAGACTTGATAATCGTTGGCAACGGATGATCTGAACTTTTTCAAGTTATGTGAGATTGTGCCACTCCGGTGAAGCTGTGAGATTCTCACAGTCTTTAATCATGACATTCTTCAAAGTGTTGGAAGATCGTCGTAGAAGCCAACGGGGTAGAGCCTCCATCTTTGGTAAATTTGTAGTTTCCAATGATTGAAGGTTGAAACCTTGATGATCATCTTCATCTTCTTTCTCTTTGAATCCCAGCGGCTCACTCAAAACAAGCTTCTCACAAATCCCAATGACTAGAGTTTGTAATGCAGTAAGATTATTCAAACCACGTGGAAGTGATACCAAGTTCTTGCAACTGGCAACACCCAATGTATGAAGAGATGTGAGGTTTTGAATCCCTTCAAACAAATATTCCAGATGGTCACAGCCCCATATGATCAAGAATTGAAGAGATTTCAAGTGTTCTAATCCATGACCATTAAGATCTCGTTGTTTTGTAGTTAATGATAAGAATATGAGACGGGTCATCTTCCTCATATCCTTAGGTAGCTCTTCAATTTGATCACAACCAGCAAAACCAAGACTGAGCAGATTCTGCAACTCGCAAATGGAGTTGGGGAGTTTCTTGATGTGGCGACAGTCACAAAGGTTGAGAAACCGTAAATGCTTCAAATTACCAATCCAGTTGGGCAACACCTCGAATGCAGACTCAAAAAGATCAAGCACCCTCAAAGGTTGGAACCTGCTGAGACAATTTTTATCCAAGAATTTGCTGGTTGCAGTCTTTCCCATATTTGGAAACCTTAGTGTACGCACATGTCCTAATTTACCAAGGAAATCGGAAGCACTTTCGTCGGAGGAATTGGAGTTTATGAGGCACAGATGCCGGATACTTGGGGCAATATTGTGCTTGAAAGTGTTTACCAAACGACACTCGTTCTTTGCTACCAATAAAGCAAGATCATGTAAAAGATCATGCATTTTGAATACACTATAAAGAAATGCCACATCAAAATCTTGAAAAAGAGATCTTGACAATAGTTCGTTCAAATACTGTCTACCAGTATCAAACGGATTTTCATTTTCATCCGATGATTCAAGCAGACCATGAGCCATCCAAAATGAGATTAACCCAAACTCGGTAAATTATTATTCCTTGGGGAAAAGTGAGCAATAAGCAAAACATTGCTTCAACTGAGGAGACAGTTGATCATAACTTTGTTTCAGAACATAAACCATTTCATCATCTTTCTCCATTAATTTCCAAGTCTCACTATTTTTCACAAGTTCCCACTCCCGCTCTGCAGTTTTGGAGAAAAGCATACTCCCCAATGTCTTCAGTAGCAGTGGAACTCCATTGCATTTCTTGACAATTTCCTCGCCAATTTCCACAAGGTTTGGATGTTTTTTCTCTTCCCCTTTCTTGAAAGCAAATTTGAGAAACAAAGATAAAGATTTGTTATAAGAGCTTTCAATTTGTGTGGGGAGACTGTACCTGTGATCTTTGCTACTTTATTGCTTCGAGTGGTAACAATGATTTTGCTTCCGGTAGCTCCTCCGCTGCTTCAGCTCCACCCATTTTTTGTTGTCTTCATTCCAGACATCATCTAACACAAGCAAATACCTTCTACCATTCAAGCAGTCTCGCAATGCCATCTGCAATTGCTGCAAGTTCATGCTTCCAAGGTCTCCATCACCACCCCTTTCGGCTTTAACGAGTTTTAGCACCAATAGTTGCAGATTAAAATCTTCGGAAACGCACACCCAGAGTTTCAACTCAAAGTGATTATGCACACAAATATCATTGAGATGAAAGTTGTTTTTCAACTCAGCAAGATCATGGAAGGTCCGTTGTACTTCTTTAATCTTTTGAGCCATATTAACTCGAAAAGCAAGTGGGTTTGAACTTGAAAGGAAATAACCTACCTTCTCTCCGATCCTACTCTCTTTCCGATCTTTCTTCCTCAGTGCTTCAATCTCGAATTCATCCAATACATCTTCTGTGTCGTAACAGGCGTCCCTCAGCCTTTGTAGCCAAACCCGGAGTTGATTCCGATGAGCCTGTTTCTCTTCAGCATCTAAAAGCACAGCTTTGATGGTGGTTAACGTGCTTTAAAGCTTTTCAAGGTCCGCCTGAATGCCCCAAGCTAGGCTAAGTTCATGGCTAGCAAGATCGCATAGTTTCGAAATGACATTTTCTGCAGCGTTAAATACAAAGGATTCAGCCATGATTAAGACTGAAAAAAGAGAAATGCAAAGCAAAGTTGTGATTTTTGCAATGGTCGGTTTTGTATGGAGCTTGGGGTTAGGTGAGTGGAGCAATTTTTTTCATTATTGTTGTGTGTGAAACGTGTAGCTTTCAATGCCAAGGATATGATACTGTCATTGTTAAGATATAATTATAAATTTAGTACAGAAAATATTATTTTTTTATCTCTTCGGTTTTGTTTTTTTTTTATGATTTTGATTGTCAACTTTCATATTTAATTAATTTTGTTGTTTTGATTGGTGGAGTTCCACATGCACCAGGAGACAACTTGCGACTTCAAGGGACTGGGTTAAATGATGTGCTATCTAATTCCCCACAGGTTAGTGAAAAAGGGAAAAGCACGAGGAGTGACGATCTAATTTAAAACATAATGATTTTGAAACATAATTAAAAATATGAAGAAAAAAAATCATACAATTTATGGTTGAGCGTAACTTAATATATATATTTAACTCTTTTAGCAGTTGATACCGGAGTGCGAGAAGGAAGCTCTATTTTGTTGATAATAATCGTCTTGATTAGTTATAAGGTTGTTCGGGTTTAAAGCTTGTTAAAGAAAATTTTTGATGCGGAAGATATGACGAGGGTTTGTTTAAATGTGGTTTTCGTTTTGTAAGGAAGGTGGTGAGGTGTTTGGAAAAAATGGAAATTAGAAAATTTAGGAAGTAAATTAGATATAAAATCATTGTTCAATGACATATTTAATGTTTTAGTGATAGTTTAGGTGTAAAACTAAATATTAACTTTTTTGTTAACATTGTCACGTCATCAATTTAACGGAGACGACGATGGTGATCATTGTGTTACAAATCGATAACATTAGTAATCAATTTATTCCTTTTGAGACTTTAATAGAAAAAAAACTTACTCAAATATAAATAACTATTGGGGTAGTTTACCATTAAAATTATGGTCAAACTAGCTTGACAATATGGTCGTCTCTTATGATATATTTAACCGATTCTTTAGCTTCATCGCATATGGCACAATTTGATGCTATAGTGAGATTCCTTTTTGCATGTGCCTACTTATTCAATTTGTTCAGAAGGAATAGCCATATAAAAATTCGGATTCTCTTTGTAGCTACTAACTTCCAAATCCAAGTTGTTAAGAGTTTAACTTGAATTTAATGCGGTGAAAATTAATTAATATATAACTAGAGAATATGAAACCTAGTTTGATTAGAAGTACAAACTTTATTTTTCTTTTATTTAGAAAACATACTGTGAGTAGAATTGTACTTTATAAATTTCTTTTGTAATAAAGTATATATTCTTATAAATAGATACTCAAAGTTAGATATCAAGTTTTTCTTTTTCCTAAAATCCTCTTGTATTTTTATTCCTCTATATTAGTAGATCTTTCTTCTTCTACCCGTAATTTTTCTCGAAAGGCATGTTAAACCTTGGTGTTCTTTCTTTTATGATTGTTTTACATTCGTTGTTATCGTGCTTTCATCATAACAAACCGGTATAAGAACTTTTCAGGTTAGATCCTATCATAATAACGGCGTCAGTAAAATATGAATTCCATTTTGGATCTTAGCACAAGATTCTCGTTATGGCATGTGAAGATTTGAGATGTCTTTGTACAATTGGACTTAGATGATGTGTTGAAAGGATTTGATAATAACACATCATCATATTAAACGAACGAAGAAAAATGAAATGATCGAAAGGCACTATATCATATACATTTAGACTAATCAAATCAACTTTTGTAGGATATATCGAAAGAAAATGCATTTGCTTCTTTGTGGGAAAAATTGAATCAACTATTATAACACCTTTAACCCGTATACGTCTCGATATATGAGCTAAAGATGTCACATCAACTTAAAAACATTTACTGAACAGAAATTTCCTAAAAATTTGTTTCACTTAAAAAATACTCCTATTTTAACTTAAAAAATCTATTTTAAAGTATATCTCAACCTATAATATATTTCTTTGTTAAGGGAAAATAAATTCATTTGTTAATCAGTAATTTTACTAAACCATGTCTTTTCGTGTAATCTTTTAAAAACATAATAACATAATATAGTATTTTCATGCATAGATACTGATAAAACTAAACTAAGTAAAGTAAACTAAAATAGTTCTAGTTTACTATTACAAATTATTTAAAATAAATACGATAGATAGAAACTACTGACATAATTATGCATGCCACTACTAGTCAAAAGAAACTTCAATGATGTCTTACTGATACTAGTATTATAGATGATCTTCACATGATGCTTGGAAGGCTCCTCATAAAACGTCTATATCTCAATCAGACCCTACGCATGAAAATCATCACGTGCTGAGTATAACTTAGTGAGACAGTAATAATCTAAGGTGAGAAAAAAATATGAAAATATCATAAAGATAAATAAAATAATTTGAATCAAAATATTAAATTGACAAACCAACTTATCCAAGTCAATTTCTTCACTGAGACATGAAATTTCTTTTCAAATCATGAACTCATGAAAATACTGATAAATCATATCTGATAAAATAAGCATATCATGCTTTCTGTCAACTAGAAATCATTCACAACTTGCTTATTCATTTTCATAGCCCAATGCATATTTATGAGAACATAAGATAAGTGAGTAAGGTGCGCACTATGCACAACACGGTGTAAATCGTAACTGATACTGAGATAAGATGCACTTCAGTGCCATCATAACCTGAATAAACACCAACGGTGCTGAACATTGATACACGAATGTACCAAAGCTGATATGATAACATTGATACACGAATGTACCAAAGCTGATATGATAACATTGATACACGAATTATGGTATATTTTCAAAGTTGAACGACATAATCCATTTAATGCAGAATCTGCTGCCCCATTTTTTCTCACCTTTTCTCGGTTAAAAATTCATATATTTTTGTATATACCTTGAAATTGATCCCCGTTTGTTTTAAACAAAACTAAACTGATATAAGAACACTAATATATAAAAATAACCTCTAAATAATATTTATATAATTTTTGGTGAATTTTCAAACTCACTGTCAGATTCAAAAATCTAAATTGTTTTCATTAATTTGCATCCTTAGGTTCTTCATCAATTCTTACAACACTTCTAATATCAAGAATCGATCTTTAATCATAAAAAACACACTTCCCATTCATAAACATCTTACCAACTTGAGCATGAAACATGAAGATTTTTATGCCAAATGAAAGAGAATTTCATGTAGGTTATTTTATCCTTAACAACCTAACTTAAAATTCTAGTAAAAATGGACCAAAAATTAAACAAAAAGCTTCTCACCTTATTAATGTAGTCTCACGGCAGTAAGGAGGATGAAGGCTTTCTTTTTCCTGAATGTTCTATAATTATAATTCCTTTACACTTGTTTAACAACCATTAAAAATGAATTAAAAATTCAATTTGTTTGCTAAATAACCATTTTACCTTTAATAAATATTCATAACTACAACTTTGCAACTCTATGACATCATCCCTTTCCTCATCATATCCATAACAAAATATCATAAATTCTGATTTTCATGTTTGTCCTTGCAACTTTTTGAAAAACTGCAATTTAGTCACCTAATTCCAATTTTTTTTGCTTAACATGGAAAATCAACCTTAATTTCATTGAGCCATTTTAAATATAAATTTTATAAAATATAGAAATAATATTTCCAACCTTTATCTAGCATCCTTCACAATTTCGTGAAATTCTGAATCAATCCGATTATCCGATTACAATATTGAACTTTACCGCATTATAGCTTTTAACACAAATCTCGTACCAAAAATCTGATTCTCACTAACATATTTTTTTAATCCAAACCGTTCATTTATAAGCTAAAATATATAACTTTTAAAATTTAT